CCATGGCCCCTCCCCCTGGCCAGCCCCATGCCCAATCGGCCCCCCCCACCCCAAATGGGGCAGGCCAGCGCCCCCCCAAGTACAGAAATTTTTGTGCACCGGGCCTCTAGTCAATGATGAGAGAGAATCATTGATTGGCTGCCTCCTGTACACTCCCTACTGGAGATGGAGCCCACAACCCAGACATGTGCCTTGACTGAGACTCAAACCTTGACCTCCTGATTCATAGGCTGATGCTCAACCACTGAGCCATGCTGGCTGGGCCCATTGTGTTATTTCAATAGTTATAATAGAGCTTGAGAGTTAAGGCAATAGAGCTTGAGATTGAAGACTGTTACCTCTGGAGGCAGACTACTTGGATAGTCTAACATGTATGACCTTGATGCTTCAATTTACTTATTTAAAAAAAGTTCCCACTTCATATGGTTCTTGTGAGGATTAAATAAGTTACTTTTCATAAGGCTCTTTTGAACAACAATGGGTAGTACAATATAACTGTCACTACCAAGCTTCTTGTAACAACACTTAGCACCCAGCACAAAGCTAAGAGGAAATGACCAAGAAATGGCAGTGCATTGAAACTGTTTAGTTTGCTATGGGAAATAAGCCTAATGGCCATCTGGCAGTTTTATTAATGCCAACTGTATACAGATGTAGAGATGTCACAAGACACAGAAGACAGAAAAAAGAGTTTTAGCAGAAGCAGTAGAGATTAGTCACTATACTAGGATCTGTGGCAATACTATAATAGAAAAGGTACTTTTAGAGAAAAGAGAAAAAGACATGAAGGGCCCAAAACAGAAAATGAAAAAGCAGTAGTGCACCAGTTTTTTCCATTCATCAATATAGGGAATAGGCCGAAACTGGTTTGGCTCAGTGGATAGAGCGTCCGCCTGCGGACTGAAAGGTCCCAGGTTCGATTCCGGTCAAGGGCATGTACCTGTGTTGCAGGCACATCCCCGGTGGGGGATATGCAGGAGGCGGCTGATCGATGTTTCTCTCTCATCGATGTTTCTGACTCTCTATCTCTCTCCCTTCCTCTCTGTAAAAAATCAATAAAATATATATTTTTAAAAAATATAGGGAATAGGCGATAGAGAATCTTCATCGTACAAAGCAGTATATCTCTTGATCTCATTAAACTAAATTCCTTGAAGAGATGTACCATGTCTTCATCATCTCTGCATTACCCATAACACCTAAACATAAGCAGTAAATAATATGCCAAGTTAAATTCAGTAAGTCTTACTGATTCTTAAGAATGGTAACAAGGATAATGTGCCATGATTAATAATTCAAAAGGCCAGAGATATTCCAAAGTTAGGCACTGAAGTAATCATATACATCGGAATAAGAAATATTGGCATCTGCTAAAAACATCCCAAATTCTTACTTGTTGCTCAGACTTGATTTCAGGGATCTTTTCTTCAGGAGTCTTTATTTCAGTATCCTTTAAGTCACTCACAGCACATGCTTCACTCACATCTGTCATTGTACTTAATGTACTGTCAGAAATGCTCACACCATCTTCATTGTAGAGGTGACGGATCACCACAGCTTTCTTCTGCCCAGAGAAAGCTATGTCAGAGCTGCTTCAGTGTTTCCCTCACACACAGCCACTTCGCAAAAGAACATCTTATCTTCCCTCTCAGATTTATAAAAGCTTAAATTACCACATATAATGTGTACATAAAACATTAATTAAGCTATTATTTTATGAGTGGTGATGAAATTGTGGTTATGATATTTTAAAGCATTCTTAAATATTAGAATATTGAAATATTTCTTCAACGATGTCAGCTTTTGTTTCAAACTGTTTCAAATTTTGGAGAAAGATGTTGGGAAAACTGGTTATAATAAAGATGAAACAAGATGAGCAAAGAGTTAATAAATTGCTGAAACTGGGAATGAGTACTTTTGTAAGTATTTGAAAGTTACTTTAAAAACAATTTCATCATAAAATAGGTTACCACATAATTCACGTAAATAATCAAGAACTGACTCTGTGAATAAGATGTCACAATTTATTAAAAATTAAACAAACCATAAAATATCAGACATTTAGCTAATGTTTCAAACTAAATAACAACAAAGGGAAAGTCCTGAGAGTAAGGACTTATTCAGCCACAGATGCTGAACAGATAAGGGCAGGGAAGCTACCTATCAACAAAGAGAAGATATTCAAAACACTACCCCAAACCAGAGTATGGGTTTAGGAACTACCAATCATTGGATTCTTCACAATCCTGATAGAGAAATATGAACACAGATTAATGAAACCACATAACTTATAATGGCATGCTCTATTTATGTTCCCATGTTGTTATAGGAAGACTATATACATAATTAGGAGTAACTATTCATGAGCACATAATATAACCTTCCTAAATCATTGCTATTCTATCTAGGAAACAAGGCAGAAATAAGAATTAGAAATATAAAGAGAAAGCTTGTTCCATTCTATACTTCTACCCTCTTCCTTTGGAATATTCCCCAGATAACATGATATGCATTGCTAACAAATCCTTATGGTATAATACCTAACTAGAATGTTTTAACCAGCTGCTAGCTAGAAAAGTGAGCTTGTACACTGGATTAGTTAGTTAGGTAGCTGTATTTTCCAACCTTTCCTGAAGCCATGAACCTGCCAGTGATATCAACGCCAACAGATTCTGCAGATGACTTCTCGCTGCTTGAACAAGGTTCTGACTTAACAAAATTGACTTTCTTTCTTTGTAGTGAGGAAGTCTAAAAAAAAAAAGTATTAAGATGTAAAAAGGTTTGTGTAAAAACATGATGTACTAGTATATTTAAATTCTATTATCATTTAAACTTTATATATAAAATATGACTGTCAAATAATGAGTCTAAATGCCATATATTTTGAAAACTTAAGAAGTGATGAAAATGTACTGCTTTAACTGTTAGTTTAGGACCAGTAGCTCCAAGTTGCAAATGTGCAAACACAAGTGACTAGTATTTAAAGCAAACACTAGGTATTACAAGGTTACACAAATCTTAAATAATGCAGTAATTATGCTATGTATTAATTTGCTGTCTAGGGTATTGATTTTATACATTGAAATACTCGCCACTCAGCCTAAGTTAAAATCTATAATAAAATTACCTTATCAAGACCACTCAACTCTTTGTGCTTTTTCATCACACAATTCAAAATATCACAAATAATTTGGATTTTCCATTCTGCAAATCCACATTGGAGAAACTGCTTTTTCGTCAAGATTGGTTTATAATTAAATTGATCACGAAGAAGCTATGAAGAGAGAATAGATCAACAAAATACTGGGAACAATCTCTTTCAAAAATCTAAAATAATAAATGGCCACCTGGTTAGGGTAGCCTTTTATTTAAAAGGTATAAAGAGAATTATGACCAGGTAGCAGAGGTATCTAGGTAAAAACAGGTAGTGAGGGATGTACCAAAAATAGATGGCTGTCCAGAGAGACGGAAAAATAAACCCAATGATCCTAATAGGCACTAGAAATACTCCTTAGCTCACTCCATACCAGATAAGTCAGGAAACCATAGTTTTATGTGTTTATACTTCTTCCACTATATGATTTTTTAGACAAGTCAGTAGGCCTCTGAGTTTCAACTTCTCATTTGTAAAATGAGAGAAACAGACCAAACCAGTAATTTCCAAAACCTACTCTTGAACCCTAAGATTTCTTGGAAGTGCCTCTTAGGCTTCCTCTTAGGTTTCCACAGAAGTTTTCTGGGTGAAAGATAAAGAAAGGGACGATTGCCGAAACCGGTTTAGCTCAGTGGATAGAGCGTCGGCCTGCGGACTGAAAGGTCCCAGGTTCGATTCCGGTCAAGGGCATGTACCTGGGTTGCAGGCAGGGACGATTAAACAGAGACTACACATAAAAGCTCCTATTTTATCAAATGCAACTTATTACTTAAAAAAGAAAAAATTTGATTTGATAAATGGGTTTTACCTTTTCTAAAAAAGCTTAAGAAAACTAGAGTACTTGAGCAAAAATTAATGATTATAAGAGGGTTTTTAAAAAACTAAGTATGAGATTAAGTGCATAATACATAATACAAGTGTAAATACTAGGGTAGATATAAGACATGGTCCTAGACGACAAGGCACATAAAATCTCAGTCAAAGCTCTACAAACAACTAAATTAACTCATAATTCTATATATCACAAACTTTACTCAATAAAACCACATTTCTCTCTAAATTCTGCCAGCATACCAAATTTTACTAAAATTTGTTGTAAAAATGGCAAATGATACCAATGACAAACGTTTACCAGTTGTCATATTTAATAGAGTATGAAACATAAAGCAAACTTCAATTATATCTTGATTGCAATACGGATTATATTTAAATGTGGTAAATGCATATGAAAATACTGTCAACTATACATGCTGCATATATTTAAGAAATTATTATAAAAACATTAATATGAAAAAACCACTGATGACTTCTGAAACAATTATTTCATAAACTCGAACATACCTTATAGACGGTATCTATAAAGCGCAAGTCATTCTTCGCTATGAGCTCTACATTGGATTCCATCAGAAGTTCTGCTACATAAGGGGAATATGAGGTAAGAGAATAGCTGATGATGGGCAAAGATGCTGCTAAATCTCCCTTAATCAAACTGTTGGGGGGAAAAAAAGAAAAAGATTTTTAATGAGCATAATTCCACAAAGCTGGAAAATCGGGGCAATATAAGAATTATTGTCAATAATTTATAATAATACTATAGCCATAATAAAGTGATGCACAAGACCCTTCATAGTCTATCCCCAACACTAAATTAGTCTAGCCGAATTACTATGAAATTATATTACTCATTTGCTCAAACAATTATAATAGCTCTTTAATACCAATAGAAAATCTAGTACATTTGGTCTTAATAAAACAAATGTACCATCTTACAGAGCTCAAGTACACTGTATGCTCTTGCAAGCACTTGTTATCTTACCTTACCTCATATGCTTTTTACCACAAACTGCAAAGGTAAAATATTATGAATATGTTAGGTCAGAAAATTAGTCTCAAACTTTGAGAAGCAATCTCATCAAGTACTTATCTAGCCACAATTATGAAGCTAGAAATCAGTTTTAGTTTCAAGAAAGCTGGAAAATTCACAAATATGTTCATATTAAACAACACACTCCTGAAAAATCAGTGGATGAAAGAAAAAAGAGAGATCTCAAAAGAATATAGAGGTAAAGTGAATACAAACACAATCTACCAAAACTTAAGTATAAAATGCAGGAAATGCAATTCTAAGAGGAAAGTTTAAGTTATAGATGAGGAAAACAGGGTTGGGATACTGTCACTAGTCTGATCAGTATCTTCCCCTTGTATTAGGCCCCTTTGAAATCTGTACCTTATTAGTTTATGCTAATTCCTCCAGTCTAGAGAGGTATCCCACTTTTCTCTGCCTATTATTCATCCTCCATAAATCATTTGTTAGACACAGAGCTTTCCATGAAGCCATCCTCAACGTTCCGATCCGTATTTCTCTCCCGCAGAATGATTCCCTGGCTATTCAGTATCTGATGCCTCATTGCCTGTCTTGTACTCTTGCCTAATTGTCTACACATACGAATCTCATTTTCTCCATGTGAAGTAATTTCACAGATTCTCCCACAACAAAGCACAGGAGAGGCAGTTCAATTACTCAGTTATATTTGTTCAATTGAAGTAATAATGCACTTCTGTAAAACATTTGTTTTCCACAAGATTCAAGAGATACATAAATCCCCCCTATTCCCACCCCAATATTTTTAATAAGGCAGAGAGCAAGTATATGATGATAGCATTACAATTTTTCAGGACAAATATAAATTGTTTCTCTTTTATATTTATGGGTACAATAATATTTTACTCATGAGAAAACTGCTCTGGCAACCTTTTTTACCTGTACAACAGTTTAAAAAAGACATACACAAAAAAATGCTTTTGAACAGCAAAATCTGTCCCATTTTATGCATGTTATGAATAGAAGACAGCCAGATCTGCATTTAACATCTCATATAAAACAACCTCAAAAATCCTGGTTATCTATTGTCTAAGAACTTTGATTAGAAACAGTAAGAAGAACAGGTATTATAAACTGGCACACCAAAACAAAAAAACAGCAAATCACAAGAAAAAATTTTAAAATGGGAAAAAGTAGAAAGAATCAAAATACATGTATCTGGGGCTGTGCGTGTATGTGAGGGTGGTAATCTGAAGCAGCAACGAGTAGCATTGCCTATCTCAACAGACCTTGCCAATATTACTATATTATGAAACTAGAGGCCCAGTGCATGAAATCTGTGCACAGGAGGGAGGGGGGGTCCCCTCAGCCCAGCCTGCAACCCCTCCAATCTCGGACCCCTCAGGGGATGTCCGACTGCCAGTCAGGGATCGGATCTAAACTGACAGTCGGACAGCACTCTCACAATCCGGGACCACTGGCTCCTAACTGCTCACCTGCCTGCCTGCCTGATCGCCCCTTACTGCCCCCCCTGCTGCAACCAGTCTGGTCGCCCCACACAGCCTGCTGTTTGGTCATTTGGCCACCCCTCATTAACCCCCCTGCCAGCCTGGTCACCCCACACAGCCTGCTGCTCAGTCATTTGGTTGCACCATGCTGCCCCGCCCTGCTGGCCTGGTGGCCCCATGCAGCCTGCTGCTCAGTCGTTTGGTCGCCCCTCACTGCCCACCCCCGCCAGCCTGGTCACCCACAACTGCCCTCTTTCTAGGCCTGGTTGCCCCATGCAGCCTACTGTTCGGTTGTTTGGTTGCCCCTCACTAACCCCCCAGCCGGCCTAGTCGCCCCATGGAGCCTGTTTGGTCGTCAGTTCGGTTACAACGGTTGCTTAGGCTTTTATTATTGTAGATAATCTAAAAAATGATTGTTTTTAATGACACTCGGGTCAATAAGAAAATCAAATGTTTAAGCAGTGTACTCAGAAGAAAGGAACATAATCAGTATCTTTTAAAATTATTCCCATACAAATGTCTTTAAAATGTTGATGGTAGTCCTAGCAGTTTGGCTCAGTGGATGGAGTGTCGGCCTGCGGACTGAAGGGTCCCAGGTTCAATTCCAGTCAAGGGCATATGCCTGGGTTGGGGGCTTGATCCCCAGTAGGGGCATGCAGGAGCAGCCAATCAATGATTCTCTCTCATCACTGATGTTTCTCTCTCTCCCTTCTTCTCTGAAATTAATAAAAATATATTAAAATAAATTTTAAAAAATGTTGATTAAGGTGGTAAGAAGAAAACATGGCTATTCAAACTGGTTAAGTCCCGGCAAGACCAGACAGTAGAGATTTCCCTCTTTTGATTAACCAACCTATTGTTATATGCTATGGAAACATACTATGGAATATCTTCTGTTTCTCATATATAATACCTGTGACAATAGTCACTAGAGCTCAACTTTCTCCTTGTTCTCCTTACTCTCCTTTCATTTGCAGCCATTTCTTAGTGTTAACTCTCCTTAGTATACATTCAGAACTTCTATTTTTATATATAAAGCCCATTACTCCAGAATTCTACTTAGTAGTTGGTTTAGCCAAGACTCACTCTACCACTTGACAATGTAGCTAATCTGGAGTTGTCCCTTGACACTCATTGAATAAATGTTTAATTAGCTTCTAATATGTGCTAGGCATCATTCTAGACAAGGGGATACTACAATGAACAAAACTAAGTACTAGCCCTGCCTGGTGTAGCTCAGTTGGTAGGGCATTGTCCCATGCACCCAAAGGCTGCCTGTTCAATTAATAGACAGGGCACAAGCCCACACTGCAGGCTCAATACCCAGTAGGGAGTGTGCAAAAAGCACATTCTCGATGTTTTCCTCTCACATTGATGCTTCTCTTTCTCTCTCCCTCCCTTCCTCCCTCTCTCTCTCTCTCTCTCTCTCCCTAAACTCCAACAAAAAGTATTTTCTACAAAAACTAAGTACTAGATATCAACTTACTTCCCAGAAGGGGAAATATCAATGAATATCCCAGGTAAGAATAGATGTATTAGGGCAGTGATGGCGAACCTATGACATGCGTGTCAGAGGTGACACGCAAACCCATTTTTTTTGGTTGAGTTTTCTTTGTTAAAAGGCATTTAAATACATAAAATAAATATCAAAAATATACATCTTTGTTTTACTATGGTTGCAAATATCAAAAAATTTGTATATGTGACACGGCACCAGAGTTAAGTTAGGGTTTTTCAAAATGCTGACATGCCATGCTCAAAAGGTTCGCCATCACTGTATTGGGGATAGAGGGTGACAAGAATACCGTATTAGATTGGCATGAATAGAGAAGAAATGTATGTTGCTTTGCTACAACCTACAAAAGCAAGTCAGTCATATTGGGAAAGTGAAAACTAATGTAAAATGTCCAAATGTGGGGTCTGTTATATGAATTAGCTAATAATCTTCAGGCAAGGTATAAGTGGTCATAAGAAATCTATTAAGTAGAATCTTCCAAATAATAAAGAAATACTATCCAACTAGATGTGAGAGGGTGGTAAGTCGTATAACTAATGAATTCATTACATTTCTACGAGTTTAAAAGTTGTACAGAGACCATACCATATATGAATGTATATTTTGCTGCTACTTCTTTTTTTTTTCAAAAAAATATATTTAAATATATTTTTATTAATTTCAGAAAATTAGGAAGAGGGAGAGAGAGATAGAAAAATCAATGATAAAAGAGAACCATTGACTGGCTGACTCCCGCATGCCCGACTGGAGACTGACCAGAATCGAACCCGGAGCCCTTCAGTCTGCAGGCTGAGGCTCTATCCACCAAACCAAACCAGCTAGGACTCAAAATATATTTTTATTGATTTCAGAGAGGAAGGAAGAGGGAGAGAGAAAAACATCAATGATGAGAGAAAATCATTGATCAGCTAGCTGCCTCCTGCACACCCTGCACTGGGGATAGAGCCTGCACCCCAGGCATATGCCCTTGACCAGAATCAAACCCACAACCCTTCAGTCTGCAGGCCGGCACTCTACTCACTGAGGCAACCCAGCAAAGGCTTTGCTTCTACTTCTAAAAGGTGATTTAAATCTCAAGTTAGACTTTAAAATTCATGCTTAGAAATAAACTCCTGTAATTCCCTGCTTTCTAGAATATTTTAATCATTTCTAGGAAATTTATTAAAGTGCCCAGATAAAATCGGTGTCTTTATTTAGATTCTCCCCCATGTCAATTATATCAAATCATTACCAAGAGACTACAAATACGCTTTATACACTAGCTTACCCTACACAATCCACTTCTTGAGGATAATTTAGTGAGCGAAGCATTTGTTCTAGGTTCCGTAAGCTTCTCTTCAAGTCGCCTGTTGCCATTATTTAACATTACATTCAGCTCCAGATTTTGAAATAATCTAATATTTCACCTAAAAGTAAAAATTTATAAAACAATTAAGTCTGTGTATTTTTGAAGCTTCTCTATTCTATTTTGTTCACATATCCTATTTTGTTCACATCTCCATACTTACCTTGGCTTAGCTATTTCTCCCCTAACTTATCTTCTCTACTGGTCTAGTATTGCCTAGTATTTATCTCATATTCCTGAATATAGGTATGCTTTCCCCCCAATATTTTTTCCTTATAAAAAAAAGTTTGCTTTATATTCACGTTCTTGAAATGTGTCTCAAATATGATACTCTCCCAAATACTTTATTTTGAACAACAAAGTACCATTTGAGAAGACACATCAATCTGAAATAGTCTACATCAGAGACTATTTTGGATGCTTATGAAGGGTACATTAAAAAAAAATCAGTAAAAAATGGAGACAGAATAAGCACAGATTTAGTCATAATTCCCAGAGCTCTGACCTCACCCAGTTGCCAATAAGATGCTTCAGTTAAAAAAACAAGTGATTAAAAACCACATATCCTCACCAGGGCAAAAAGAACTATAGGGATTCCATAACAGAAGAGTTATCAACAAAATTTTGGAATATGGAAAGCAGATGGATGAGTAACAGCCAACCTAGCAGAGCACAGACTGGCCAATCCCATCTATTTAGGAGAAAACCAACAGCAGCAATATAGGTTCAGAAATGAGGGGACCCTTACAGTTCTGCAAGGGGTAAGGCCAAGGAGTACTGAAACAAGGATGATTATATGAAAGTTTATATATAAGTAGCTGCTAAATACTGGTTTTTCACTTCCCTTCCTGTCTCTGACACATAACTTGCTCAACTGGGCAACTAGCTGTCTGTGCCCCTGGGTTTAACTGTCCTCTAGCTTGTTTCATGTTTGTGTGTGTATGTGTGTATGTGTGTATGTGTGTGTGTGTGTGTGTGTACATATATATACATACACATACATACTAGAGGCTTGTTGCACGAAGAGATTCGTGCAATAGGCCTTCCCTTCCCTTGGCTGCTGGCACTGGTTTGCCTCTGGCACCCGGGACCCAAGCCTTCACTCTGGCCGGGTTCCGGCCGGAGGCAGCCCCAGAGCCATCCGGCTTCGCTGCTCTGGCCCCGGGGCTGTCAGGCTTTACTCTGCCACTTGGAGCCTAAGTATGCAAATTAACTGCTATCTTTGTTGGGTTAATTTGTATACTCTCCTGATTGGCTGGTTAGTGTAGTGAAGGTACAGTCAATTTACATGTTTATCTATTATTAGGTAAGATACACACACACACACACACATATATACACATACACATATATGTGTGTGTGTGTGTGTATCTTACCTAATGTGTATATATATGTGTGTGTGTGTGTGTGTGTGTGTGTGTATGTGAATTAATTCTGATACTTGAATTAAACAATTAAGTAAGTGGATGATTGAATAGTAGCAGCTACGCTTTCTCAATGCTGGAGTGAGAATTTACTGATAAGCAAGGGGAGGAGACAAGAATAAGCCATGCCTAATGGATTAGTTAGAGACATTAGTATGAATTTATGTTTAGCTTAATATAGATACAGATAGTTGCATATTGAAATATTTATAGATATGTAGATATAGACAGCTTAGTATATGCACATCTATTTCCACTCTCTGCCAGCTGAAAGTGACTAAAAGCAATGACACCCCAGTAGCAAAGAGCACACATGGCATCCAGATCTTGGTGTGTAATGCTATTCTCCAATAAAAGAAAGCTGGGCTCCCTGGAGAAAAGACCAATTGTAGAACTGGGGCAGGAAATATGCAAAATGAACCTGAAGCATTATGTAGTTCCAGAAAGTAAAAACTACACACAAAACAAACAAACCAATCCAACATTGATGGGGGTACATCAAAAGGGCACAGGAGCCAAATGAAATAGCTCCCAATGTTCAAAGTTAACACACTTTGAACAATGAAATTAATAAAGTAGTATGAAATTATTATCTAATAAAAGACAAAAATGCTAATTGACTGTACCTTCGCTATGCCCACAGGCCAATCAGAAGAGTATGCAAATTAACCCAACAAAGATGGCAGTTAATTTGCATACACAGGCACCCAGCGAAGACTGAAGACAGTGTAGAAGGAAGCCAAGCACTGCAGAAGGGAGCCAAGCGGCGGAGAAGGGAATGGATCGGAGATAGCAGAGACGAGGGCGGAGCTGAGGCAGCGGACACGGGAGGGAGCCGAGGCGGCAGAGAAGGGAGTGAAGCCCGCCTCGGTGGACTTTGCTCCCTTCTCTGCTTTGCTCCAGTCTCAGGAAGCCCTATTCTTGCAGGAATCTTCCTGAAAAAGGCCTCTAGTCCAAGGTATTAAAAAAAAAAATCAATCAGTATAATTCAATACATTAACAAATAAAGGAAAAATCTTATAATTTTAATACATGCACAACAGGCATTTGCTAAAATTCAACACCCATTTATTTCATAATTCTTATGACATTAGAAATAGAACTAACTGCATTTGATAAAGATCATCTACAGAAATCTCTTGTAAACATCATACATCAAAATAGTGAAATACTGAAAACTTGCTTCCTGAGATTGGGAATGAGGCAAGCTTACCTTACCTCATCATTTCTATTCAACATTGTACTAAAGGTGGTAGACAGTACAAAAGTGCAAGAAAAAGAAGTAAAAGGAATGAAGACTGAAAAGGAAGAAATAAAAATGTCACTCTTCACAGACCACATAACTGTATATGAAAAAAAATAAAAAGAAATAAGTGAATTTAACAAGGTTGCTGGATAGAAGGCCAATTGTATTTCCCTGTATTCCCCAAATAATTAAGAGATGTTTGAAAATTATGTATGTATAAATAACTCACTATAGCCTCAATAAATAATCATAAACATGTGAATAAATCTGGAAAATATATGTAAGACCTCAAAACAAATAAGTCATAGAACTCTAGTGAGATATATTAAAGTAGCCCTAAATAGAAGAGATATACACATTGGTCAAGGATTGGAAGACTCGGCCTTAATTGGATTGGCTCAGTGGTTAGAGCATCGGCTTGCAGACAGAAGAGTCCCAGGTTCGATTCTGGTCAAGGGCATGTACCTTGGTTGAGGGCACATCCCCAGTGGGGACTTTGCAGGAGGCAGCTGATCGATGTTTCTCTCTCATCGATGTTTCTAACTCTCTATCTCTCTCCCTTCCTCTCTGTAAAAATCAATAAAATATATTTAAAAAAAAAAAAGGATTGGAAGACTCAATATATATTGATCCATAGATTTAATGCATTCCCGCACCCTCCCCCCAAAAAATACCTGCAGTTTTTCATTAGTGGACATTATTCATAGATCTAAAATATATATAGCAATGCAAAAGAAAAGAATAACTATCAAGTTAAATTTGGAAGACTTAATGACTAGATATCAAGATTCAGTATAAAGTGAAATTTGGAATAAGTGAAAAGATGTACAAATAGAACAATGGAACAGAATACAGTCCAGAAACCGACCACTGACACTAAATTTATGACAAACTTGATGCTGAGTAGCCCTGGAGAAAGGATGGTCTTTACCCATAAATGATACTTTGTCAACTGAATATCCAGATGGAATAAATAAAACTTGAACCCCTGATGTAAAGGGTACCTCACATCCTTCACAAATTAATTTCAGGTTTGTTGAAAATCTAAATATAAAATATAAGATGACCACATTTTCTGGAGATCACAGAAGAGAATAATCTTTATGAACTTCAGGTGCAGAAGAATTTCTTACCTTATGATAAAATGAAACACATTAAAATTAGTAACTTCTGTTCATCAAAAGACACCTTTAAAAGAGTAGAAAGACAAGCCATTGAGTGGGAGATGATGCTATCATATATGTAACCAACAAAAAGAATCATGTCTAGAATATGTAAAGAAATTCCTACAAAATAATAAGAAAAAAATGGTAACTCAATAGAAAAATAGGAAAGAGACCTGGTCAGGAATTTGACAGAAGGGTGAACATGTGAAAGGATACTCAATCAAATTAATTATTAAGAAATTACAAAGTAAATAAAGAAATCTGAAATCTACAGAATTCTGTGCAAGAGTTTATTAGTACTACTTGGCAATATCTGCTAAAGATGGTATACATAAGGCCTATGAGACAGAAATACTAATTCAAAAAATTTACATAACAGAATATGGAACACATGCACTATATGTTTGTGCAGCAAAATGAAAAATATTTTTTTAAATATATTTTTGATTTTCTACAGAGAGGAAGGGAGAGAGATAGAGAGTTAGAAACATCAATGAGAGAGAAACATTGATCAGCTGCCTCCTGCACACTCCCCACTGGGGATGTGCCTGCAACCAAGGTACATGCCCTTGACTGGAACCGAACCTGGGACCCTTGAGTCCGCAAGCCGACACTCTATCCACAGAGCCAAACCGGTTAGGGCCACATGAAAAATATTTGACATTTTATATAAAATGGTTCACTTTTTAAAAACCCCAAAGAAATAATACCATAGGATTATATTTTTAAATGACTGATGTGGTAGGGCTTTTGTTAGATTCTCCAAAGAAAAGGTTATTCCCTAAGGAGGTCATAAAATAAATAAATACATTTTTATAAATAGTTAAGAACCTTTGCTAGAAAGAGATGAAAGAGATATATAAGTCTAGTCAACCAGTAAGGCAAAACACAATAACACTTAAAAATATCTACTTGTAACTGTACATGGACACTTCATAGAAGGAAAATCTATATAAAAGTCTAAGTGACCGAATGACCAAACCACCGGTTGACTGGCTGCTATGACGCGCACTGACCAGAAGGGTGCAGATGCTAAATTCAGGAGCTGCCCCCTGGTGGTCAGTGTGCTCCCACAGCCAACCTCCCGTGGTCCCTCCCCCTGGCCAGCTGGCCCTAATGGCCCAGATCCGGCAGCAGGACAACCTTCCCCAGCCCCTCCCCACAGCCAGACAAACCTTCTGTGGCCCTGATCATCCTGACCGCTGGCCAAGCCAACGGACCCCACCTGTGTATGAATTCGTGCACTGGGCCTCTAGTAACATATAACAATACCTTGAGTAATGAATCTTCGGGAATGAAGCTTCTTTAAAGTGAAGCCATTGACATTAAAATTAAAACAGAACAATTCATAAATCAGGGGAAGTAGAGTTAGCATGATCTTTCCCCCAGTCAACCTCCCAGCAGTTACCCAGGATACAAATCATCTCTCTACACACCTTCTAACTAGAGGCAATAAGGCTAACAATGTGCAAAATCCTAAATTTAGTAAGCTTTCTAGTTTAAGCTCCTAGGCATCCCATTCTGAACCTTTTCTCTGTTTTAGGAACACAGTATCTTCCTGATCCAAGTCTCCTCTCCTTTATCAATATGGTAAAGAATAGGTTATTGACTATATTTTTATACACTCATGCGAGTGTTTTAGTCACTATTTTTCAGCCAATCAATTACTTCAACTAAGCATTTACATTTTTAGGCAGGAGGAATTTCGGGTACTGTCAAATGGGAGATAACTAGAAAAGAAAGGAAGTACTCCTCAAATCACATTGTACAAAATACTGGCCGAAAAGGCAAATCTTTTTTAACATCGTTTAGGATGATTCGGGATCAACAGATATATGGAAGAAGAGAGATGACTTCTCATGAACACAACCAGCCTTTACTTTCCAGGAAAAGATGAGGTGGGAACTAAGCTGGCTGTAATTATCATTGGCCATTATAGAAGGTCTGAGGTTAAGTTCCAGACACATCTATTTTAACACAATTCTTCTTGGAGCACCTTTTCCCCTCAGACATTCCATAACTTTAATATACATTGTATTTCTTCCCACAGACTTCCTTTAATCCTGCATATTCCATCTTTCTAGTACAGGTCATTTCATTTCATTTAACACTTTATGGTATCTATTCCATCTTTCCTTTCTCTGTAGTTCTGGAACATATATCAATGTCTCATTATTTCTACCTCTGGTAATGGAATTTCTGACCACAAAGTATGTCCCTGGAACACATCATCTTCAGTACCAGCGGAATCAATATTTTGAAGAAGAGTAAGATACAAGTACAGCTTGGATCTGTAGGTGAAGGAGATACGTGATAAGAATAGAAAAAAAAAATAAAGGGATACAAAACGTGAAATCATAGAAAAATTATAGTTACTGCTCTATAGTTTCATGAAAGGCTTTACTGAGTCTACTACAAGATTAAAAATTAAGATATTAAAAAAGTCAATCTCGAACTTATGCACATTTTAACATAATACTTTCAGAGACAAAAAATAACTTTAAAAAAATAACATTTACACTTTATAACCCGTATCAAAGGAAAGTAAAAGAAGAAGATATTACTCAGCTTGTAGCATGGATCCAACCATTACGATGGTCTCAATATTGCTTCCTGGCTTCCTCCAGAGAGCTCTCTCCGCAAGTCAGTTCTGCCAATCGAACCCCATTTTCAATCGAGCGAGAGATCATGGCTGTTGGGGGTCATGCAAGGATGCCTCCCAATGGAATGCCATTAAACTCAGAGGGATTTTTGATCAAAATGAAGCAACTACACTGACGACAGCGATTGCGGTTGATGACTTAAGTTTGTGACATTGCTCATAATGCTAGATATTATCTAAAAACCGTGTATCAAAAATAGAGGAGTAGAAAGAGGAAAAGTTTAAGTTTATAAAACTTTTCACAAAAAAATATTAGGGAAACACTGTTCTAAGAGAGACGGAGAAAGGGCTGGGAGAGAAAACATTGAGAAAATGGGGGGGGGGGTGTGGAACAAGGGAAGTAAGGGACAAGTATAGACAGAGTTCAGACTGTCGTGTTCACATATAAAACTGTTGAAAGGTTTGGACAACTTTAGAAAAACAGGTTAACACAGACCTAATTCCAGAATCAAAACGTCAAGATTGATTTTTTGTTTCATAGCGAGGGAAAAATCAATAGTCTCCTAGGAACATGGAAACATATTGAAACCCCAGGGACATGCCAGCAAGGAACACATGCACTACTTTTCATCTCTCTTCCTTCCAGTCAATAATATTTCCGAGGAGCTCAGCTCAGAGGCTGCAACAGGAGGGAGAGGTCTATCCCTTCGCTACCGTAAATCACAACCGAATCCCAGAGGATGCGCTGCCACGGTTCTTCGCTGTCACGAAGGGACGTGAGCAGTTGGGTATACTACAGGCAAGGCACGTCTAGGGGCCCTCCTCCCGCCACGAGATTTAAAAGGACGAAAAGACAGACCTGGTCATCGCTCACACTCGGGGCCTCGGCCCCGGCATCAGAGAGAGGAGAACTCAGCCCAGTCTAAGGGGCTGCCTCGCCAGCTCCTCGAGGCTCCCCCAGCAGCCGCGGAGCCAAGAAGCGGACTCCGAAAGGGAGGGGTGTGGAGGGGTTCCTATGCAACCAGCCCAGCCGCCAGCAACAAATACGGGCAGCCGCACCCTCGCGCGGGGCGCGTTTCTCGCGCCGACCGTTTGTATCTGCAACAGCGGGTCAGAGCCCGCCACGCAGCGCGGCCCGACCTTCGGAGCGGCAGGCTTCCCACGCTCCACGATTCCTCGCCGCAGATTCCACACCACGTTCGTCCAGATCCCCGAGGACGCTGACTCTGCTGAGGGCCTTGTCCACAGCCAGTCCGATCCCAGCTTTCAGAGGAGAAACTGTCCCCAGTTTTGATGCTCGGAGTGGTTCGGGAGGCGAAGTGAGAAACAGGGAATCTGTAACGAATCGTCCACAACGGAGATAAAAATGCTTTTGCTTTAAGCCTCAGACCTCACACGTCACTTCCGGCAACAATAGGAAACGTCAAACCTCGGGCTGTCGGCAGCCCTCGCTGCTGCAGCCGGAGGTGCGCTCCGTTTGGAGGAAGCCGGGGCTGTTTCTGGGGATCTCGCCGCCCTCACCCTCACCGGCGTGAACCAGGAACGTCTGAACCGGCTTCTCCAATGGCCTGGGCACCAGTTCCCGGCTGAGCTCTTTTCTGTTCGGCTAAAAGCCCCCGTCAAGAGGCCGAGTCGTCGCGGCGGCGGTGGGGATCGCAGGTCGCTCAGGTACCAGCGTCAGCCTAGATATTTCAGGGCTCCTGCTTCTTTTCCCCTCCACTCCCTCCACTTTTCTCCTCGGAAATGAAGATAACTGGTGCTCGCTAGTTAGTAGAAACTTGCCAACCAGCAAGACTTTGGGACCAATGACAGTGCAAAGCTTCTTGAGTGACAGCGGTGACGGCTTATTAAAGTGGGGAATAAGGCGGTGTCAGCAGGCGGGAATAGGTGTTCTTGGGGTTTTCTAGGCCATTAAGGTCAGCCTGGGACCCGACGTAGTGACCCAACTTCATCCTGAAATAAAGCCGAGAAGAGGCGATGATTGTCCTTTTCTAACCCAAGTGTTGTTGCTTTTCGAGCAAAGTAGGTTTTGTTTCCGTTGTGTGTGTGTTTTTTTTGTTGTTGTGGCTTTTCTTTTTTTTCTTTTTTTGATGCATAAGCACAGTTTTCGGTTCTTTACATACTTTTCAGTAATATGAATGCAAACACAGTTAAAGTCACGATAGATTGCCAGTTGCCTCAGTTATCAAATTTTGGTTATAAATTTGAAAGCTTCTTCGTTTGCCCTCTTTTGTTTGATTCTCTGTGATTGGGCTTTAGTTTCTTATATGGTGGATGCTCAATGACATATTATTAATTGGATGGAGTAGCATAAATGATTCCTAATCCTCAGCCATTGAAGGTTTTCGTTGTTTTATTTTTAGGTTCTGTTTAGGTTTAGTAATTTAGTAATTGTGCTTGTTTTAACCAGTGGAATTTAGATTTTAAAGGATCCCAGGTGTTTCTGTCTAAATCAGTATATCATGATGTTTACTACTGCAAGGTAGAGCTAATTTATGTTTTCCATTTCAGTTTTTTTCTTCTCCCTCTTTTAATGTTTGGCGTTTGGTAACCTTATTTCTGAGGTAGAAGCCCCCTAATCCCCCCGCCTAAGGAAATGGTTTGCAAAATTGAGGAGAATGAAGAATACAGGGTTTTTTCTATTTTTTCAGGTTGAGTAGGAAACTTCCCGTCTTTATCCAGTTAACTTGACAGTTTGTCTGATTAGATCCTTCCTTAGTTACCCCTTGCTGAGTAACAAATTGCCCCCAAATTTAGCTGCTTGAAATAGCAAGGATTTATTATATCAAAGTTTCTGTGGGTCAGAAATTCATGAAACGCTCAGCAGAGCACCTCTGACTCATGGTCTTTCATGCAGTTGTGGTCAAGCTGTACACGGGGGCTGAGATGTCACCTGGAGATGCCACTGACGGGGAGAAGGATCCACTTCCCAGGGCTCTCGCCTTGTATTGGCAGGCCTGGCTTTCCACCACAGGGGCTTCCCCACAGGGCTGCCTGGCAACATAGCAGCTGGCTTCAATCTAACGGAGTCCCAAAGGCTCTCTATAGTCTTTTATAACCTGATCTCAGAAGTTTACCCCATCACTACTGCCATGGTGTTTGTTGGAAGTGAGTAAATAATCCAACCCAAAATCTATCTGGAGAGGATTACACAAGGGCTTAAGTCCCAGGATGCAAGGATCTTTGGGGGCCATCTTAGAGGCTGTCTAACAGATACCCTGCCTGATAAATTTTAGGAGGTAATAGGAATAACTGAGTAGAAATGCAGTCAGACAAGGAGGAATGTCAGATTGTAAAGAAATAAACAAACTTACACAAGCCTTATCTCTCATGGAAAAGTGTTTTGGTGTGTGTGTTTTTGTTTTTGTTTTGTTGTTGTTGTTTTTTTGTCTCCTTTCCCCCCCCTACTAATTATTTGAAGAGAGGCTCATTATTTTGCTTGGGAAACTGCCAGAGGGATGATGTGTGTCTGAGGAATGCTTGTGTTTTTTAAGGTCTCCGTGAGCAGAGCATGTCACAGCTGGAGATTGTGTATTCCTTACTCATTGCCATTTTATATGGCTGAAATTGTATCCAAACAAACATGAGCAACGTTAGCTTTTAAGGAGGAAAGACAAGGTAGAGGGAAGCCTTCCTGTGTAGAAAGCAGGCACATCAGTGGCAGTCTTTATGGTGGTGTGAGAGCAAAAAGGGATGGGGGAGAGGTATGTCCTGGAGTGGAACTGTATCCTGTATGCCTGTTTTTAAGCATTATTAGGTGGCAGGTACCACCTTTTCCAGCATTACCTGGATGTACCTTACCAGCATGGCTTTTGTCAGGGAACCATATAAGTTTATCAGAAATTAAAGGTATAGGCCAGGTTTTCTTGTGACACGGTTTTGGCTGTGACCCACTGTAAAAATGTCTATGCGTCTTCCAAGTTTGAAAGATGTTGTAAATCCTTATCTGTAAGTAAAGCATTGAGTTTATCTCTTATCCCTCTGGGGCTTAATACCAGCCTGATGGTGTCAATTCTCAGATTGTAAATTTGGCTTTTCAATTGGGGCTCCCTATCAGGTTAACATACTTCACTTATAGGAGTTTGGGGCCCTTAGATGGCTGCAAAATTTTAAACAGATGCTTACAAAAGTAACACAGTTGATGTACTTTCACCCATACAATATCTTAAGGTAATAACTTCTAGATAAGCTAAAACATGAATTGTAATTTATTATGTATGATCAGTTTAATAGGGAATGTTTTGTGTGTGTGTTGTGCTTTGTGTAAACTAAAACATTGAATTGCCAAGAGATGACCTTTTTTTATCATAGTACATTGAAATTAGTCATTCAGATTTATGATTTTATAGTTCACTGATGAGCCAACTGCTTTGTACACTATGTTTTTCTATATCTTCATTCAAATTTGGAAACAGACTAATGCTTTGGTTGGCCTATAATAATGCATCAAAATAATTAATATTGACAAGACACTGGGGAGTAGGGGAGGCTGGGGGAAAGTCAAGGGGGGGGCAAAAGGAGACATATGTAATACTCTTTGTAATACTTTAAGCAATAAAAAATTTTTAAAAAATTAATATTGAAAGTTTGTGAAATATACATCTAACCCATGATACTTTTTCATTGAAGTATTTTACTTAAAATTTTAAAACAACTTTTATATCATACATCTACTTCTAAAAATTTATGTTCCCCATTTCTTTATTTTTTCTCATTATTTTGTTATTCTGACAAATTTATTGACATAGATTCCACACTAAAACTAAAATGTCCTAACTTGAGTAAGATTACATCATATTTGGGGCAAATACTTTTATGATATACAGATGAGAAAATATATTTGTGGTTTCAAATTTAAGCAGCAGATTTAGGGAGTTTAGCTCTGTAATCAGCAGTTTGCATATTCTTCAAGAATAGGTCGCACAGGATTTCATAAACTGATTGAAAGAAGGAGCAAGATTTTAGCAAATGAGTCATGCTTGGAGAACAAGCCCCTGGGCTCTTGCTGAATAGTGATTTGTAGAAGTCATGAACATGGAAAAGAGAGATGGGAAGGGCAGATGTTAAATACACTCAAACACACATATATGCATCTGTCTCCATCACCTCTGCATTTTACCTTCTAAAACAATGTTTTCTCATTTTATTTTTATAGAATCATAGAATTTTATAGCTAAAAGAGACCTTAGGGATCACCAAGTTCAAAACCCTTGTAGTACAGGTGAGGAAACTGAGACTTTGAAATTTAAGTGACTTTCTCAGTACTCACAACTAGTTAAAGAAGGAGCCTGAATCAAAACCATGTTTTGTGTTGGAATCTTTATTATTAGATGTTTCTCATCTCATTTCTGATTTTCCTCCTATTTGGGGCTTCCTTTGATATTTATTTTATTTAATATATTGTTTGGTTTGTATAAAAGTAATTCAGTAAGAGTTATAGTCTTTGTTTTGTATTTAATTCCACAACTCTCATAGGAATGGCCATTGTGGTTGGTGAGCATGGAGTGTGGTATGTCCTGAGGAGGTGAGTTGGGATATACAGCTGCTGATTATAATTGGGTTGAGTAAATAGTGTAGTCAAGGAAGAACCAGTGTAATTAAAAATAATGCTGGTGAGAAGTATGATAAATTTATTTAAAAGTTAAAACAGACAGTGGAACATTTTTTGGGGAAAAAAAGCTGAAGAAATTAAATAGGCACGCAGTTCTCAGCTTTTGGGTTACGTTTAAATGACACATCTTAATTTTTACATTTGTTTAGATGCCATTTGGTAACACTCATTATAGAATCAAATTAAAGAACAGGAAAAAACCTCCAGAAAACAAAGTAATATTGTAAATCTTTGTGAATTAAAACAAGTACAACTGGTATGCCTTTTAGGAACAAAAACTGCTCTTGCAGGACCAGATCTTTAAATTTAATGACTGGGTTTTTTTATGTGTTTAATGTACCCTGTGACCTCTTAGTACTTAGCTATTTCCCTTTTCTCCTTAGAAAGACCTCCTTGTGGACGGACCCTTCCTTCATTTCTCTACAGTTGTTGCCTTTCAATTTTAGAGGTGTGATTGGTTATCAGGTTTTTTCTTTCCTTTCCTTTTTTTTTTTTTTTTTTTAATTCTCTACTCAGACTTTTCTAAACTACTTTGGTGGTCTGTTCTTTTGGAAGTAGGGAAGTAAATGCTGGGCTGCCAAATTGATTCTAAATGTCACATAGAAAATACTTTCTCACAGAATCTCCTATGTTCCTATGCCATTGAGTAATATCATAATATCACTTAAAGATTTTTAAAAATGAAAGTGTAGTTGTTACTTCTTTCTACTAGGAAAAAAATGAAAA